TGCAACGCACCATTGCTCCCCATCGATGTACAGTTAAAATTCTGAGATGGATAGTCAGTCTTGCTCCGTATTGACTATACGCATTCCTATATTGTATACCAATTTCTCAAATGTAGAAGTCGGTAAGGACTTTGTAAATAAATCAGCGGAGAGTGTCACACGAGCGAATTTGTTGGACATCAATTTCTCCATTCTTCTGAAGCTCGTGTGTATGAAAAAACTTTGGTGATATGTGTTTGGTCCTATCACCCTTTATATATCCGCCTCTTGTTTGTGCTATACAAGCAGCATTATCTTCATAAATGATAGTGGGCGTATTTGTAACTGGATTTAATTGGCAGGAATTTCGTATATGTGATATGACCGATCTTAACCAAACACATTCTCTGCCAGCCTCATAAAGTGCAATTATTTCTGAATGATTTGATGAGGTGGCCACTAATGTTTGTTTGGTAGATCGCCAAGATATACCTGCACCATTGTAACAAAACAAATATCCAGTTTGTGAGCGAGCTTTGTGGGGATCAGATCTATATCCCGCGTCGGCATAACCAACTAACCCTTGGTTAGTTGAATTTTTCGAATAAAATAATCCCATATATGCAGTACCACGAAGATATCGAAAAATATGTTTAACACCATTCCAGTGTCTCCGTGTAGGCTCAGAACTGTATCGCGCAAGCACATTTACCGCAAAAGCGATATCAGGTCGAGTGCATTGTGCTAGATACATTAACGCTCCGATAGCATTGAGATACGGCACTTCAGGGCCAAGTATCTCTTCATTAAATTCTTTTGGTCGGAATGGATCCTTTTCAGGATCTAAATTGCGCACAACCATAGGGGTGCTCAATGAATTAGAATTTTCCATATTAAACTTCTTGAGCACTCGTTTAATATTTGCCGATTGGTGTGTTAGTATGCCGTTATTTTATGCTCAAGCTCAATACAAGACAGAGTTTGGTTTTCCAAGTCTTGACTCAAATCTTCTTTAAATATCACCTGCATTGGCCAACTCTTCATGAGTTCCAATCAAGTTCATGTCATCTACATAAACCGCAATGATAGCAAATCCGGTTTCAGATCTTTTAATAAAAACGCATGGGCAAATGGGATCATTTTTATAACCTTCCCTGATAAGGTATTCACTCAATCTATGATACCACATGCGACCAGATTGTTTTAGACCATACAATGATCTTTGTAATTTGATTGAGTGCAACTCACGAGGAGCGCCAGAGTTTGGCATTTTAAATCCATCGGGAATTTTCATATAAATATCAGAATCTAGTGAACCATATAGATAGGCCGTTACAACGTCCATTAGACGCATGTCCAGTCCCTCTTGGACGACCATATTGATAAGAAAACGAAAAGTGATCGTATCCATCACTGGTGAATATGTCTCATCATAATCAATCCCAGGTCGCTGGGAGAAACCTTGAGCTACAAGGCGGGCTTTATATCTTACAATTTCATTGTTCTCGTTTCTCTTACGGACAAATACCCATTTATACCCAACGGGCTTTACATTATCCGGAGTTTGAACGATTTGCCCGAATACTTTCCGTTTTTCTAAGGAAGCCAATTCAGATTTTATTGCTTCCACCCATTTAGGCCAATCATTTCTTTGGCGACATTCCATTATGGAACGCGGTTCACTATCATAATCATCGTACATAATTTCTTGTGCAACCGAGAATGCAAAAATATTATCGATGATTATCTCATTTCTATCCCATATTTCATTGCAATAACTTATGGGATCTCGGTATCCCGGGATTTGATATCGCTTTTCCGATATTAGGCTCAACAGATTTATCTGGAGCATTCTCACTAGGAACCACTTGATTCGAGGGTTCATCGATTTTCCCCTTTCTTTTTCTAGGAACAACGTCCTTTGATCCAATAGGTCTACCCCGTTTTTGTCGTGGGGGATCATCATTCATTTTCGCATGTTCTTCAGGAACAGCGATCCTAGCTGGAACATTCACAGCTAGAATATAAGACTTCGTAACTTTACTGGCATCATTAAATGCATCAGGAAGTCTATTGGCAATATTTTGTAAATAAATGATTCTATGGATCTCATTTTCACATTCAGAGGTACGTGGGTCGAGATGAGATAAATGTTGCTCACACCATATGAGATTCTCGATTGGTTTTTGTTTATCATTATCACGGATATTCTGAATATCCTTACCAATCGGTATAAATAATGTCTCATCAAAATGACAATCCGCAAATCTAGCGGTAAATAAATCACCTGTCATTGGTTCTAAGAACCTAATAATCGACGGTGAATCAAACCCAACGTATATGCCAAGTCGGCGTTGGGGACCCATTTTAGTCCTCTGAGGAGGAGGAATTGGCACTTGCACAGCGCAACCAAATGTGCGAAGGTGCGAAATATCCGGCTCAAAGCGTAATGCCAATTGCATTGGGGAATGCATATGATAAGCAGTGGGGCGTAATTTAATCAGTGCTGATGCATGCAATACTGCATGGCCCCATGCTGCACTAGTGAGTTTAGATCTCATCAGCAAAGTACGAGCAATTATTTGGACGCGTTTAATCAGAGATTCCGCCAGTCCATTTTGAGTGTGAACGTATGTTACTGGGTGCTCGACATTTATTCCCAGTGCTGCACAATACTCATCAAAAGTTTTTGATGTAAATTCTCCGGCATTATCCATTCTTATGTTTTTAATGGGATAATCAGGGAAATGTGCTCGGAGTTTAATAATTTGTGCTAGCAAACGCGCAAATGCAATATTTCGCGTAGATAATAAGCATACATGGGACCATCTACAAGATGCGTCCACCAAAACCATAAAATATCTAAATGGCCCACTTGCAGGGTGTATTGGTCCACAAATATCACCATGAATACGTTGTAAAAACGATGGTGATTCATAACCGACCTTTTCGATGGAAGGTTTTATAATGAGCTTTCCTTGTGAACATGATTCACAAAAATATTCATTGGACATTAAGATCTTTGTATCTTTTAATGGATGTCCCTTAGTATGTTGTACAATCCTACGCATCATTGTCGTTCCTGGGTGACCCAGTCGATCATGCCATAACCCGTGTATATCGGGATTAATAAGTTTCCATGGCATAGTGGCATAGGATTCAAAAGCTCTAATTTCGAAACAATACACTCCAGAAGCTGTCGCTTCGAGTTTTTCATGAACAATTCTTTTGTCCATAACATATGACGTGATGCAGAGACATTCCACGGTATTTTCAACCAGTGTCTCTAAATGATATCCATTACGTCTCACATCTTTAAAACTCAGTAGATTCTTATTTGATCTACCTGATATCAATGCATTTTCAATATGCAAAGTGGTACCATTAGGCAACACAATTGTTGCGTTCCCGGAGCCATCTATTATTTCCGCGGAACCTGCAATGGTTTTAACTTGTGCCTTGCACAAAGTCACACTCGAGAAATATATTTTATTATTGAATATTGAGTGTGTAGTTGCACTATCGAGTAAGGCATTTCTCTTTTATTGATGTTCTCCATGTTTGCCTGAATTAAATAACATAAAATTAATATTGAATTGTAGTATAGTTTGCAAATGATATAATAACAAACTCATAATTTTATACATAGTCAAAATATCAGCTCGACCTCGGAAACATAACCTCCAAGGGAGATATGTACATGGATACATCAAAAGACAAACTAGCTCAATCTCGGGTACTACATCATCCGAGAGAGATATATACAAAGTATACATAGTGAGTACAAAATAACTGAAAAGAGATGCTCATATGGCAATTTACACAAGAGGATCAAGATCTGTAAAGAAATCTGATAACTCAAGAGAGGCTCCATCTTGAGCAGGATCTTGATCAAGCATGCTCCCAGATGTGCTGGCTTCAAGAACAGCAAGTGGCATTTCTGCCTCGATGGCATTTGTCTGGACATTTTTTGCTTTATCTTTTTTTGAGTCCTGGTACAGGTTTACCAGATGTTGGGCGGTTCTGCAAACTTTGGCCCAGTGTCCAGTCATTCCACATCTAATACACACATTTTCTGGAATTCTCTCCGCGGGCATCTTGCCTTTATCGCGTTTTGCCTGAAATGGTTGTCTCTGCCAGACCGTATTATTATTATTTCGACGGGGATATTCATATCCACCTCGGTCATTATTTCGGGCATCTTGAGGGGGACCACGTCCACCACCTCTGCGTGCACCACGCCAAAATTTACGCCCACGGCCTCTAAATCGGCCCATATTTCTATTTTGATTAGCATGTGCTTCAGGCACAGCTTGGGACCCACATGGTCGTAAATCATGATTTTTCAACAGCAATTCATTTGTTTTTTCTGCTGTGAGGAGTACAGAGATCAACTCCGAATATGTTTTAAACTGGCGCTGCCTATATTGTTGTTGGAGCACCAAGTTCGAGGCATGCATAGTGCAAAAAGTTTTTTCCAATTTATCATATTCAGATATTTTAACTCCGCACAAGGCTAATCGGGACTCAAGTTTAAACAATGCCGAATTATAGTCGGCAACAGATTTGAAGTCCTGCAGCCTTAGGTGCTGCCAATTATATTGGGCCTGTGGGAGAATCACAGTTTTTGTATGATCAAACCTTTCTTTGAGTTTTTGCCATATCTCTGATGGCCTTTCAAGTTGTATATATTCGTCTTTCAAATCCTCAGAAAGATGATGGCGGATAAAAATCATAGCATTTGCCTCATCTTTCCTATTTGCCTCCTTGATATCTACACAATCCAAGGCTTTTACAAGATCTAGCCCTTGGAGGTGTAATTTGATATCTAAGCACCAGGATAAGAAGTTACTGCCGGTAACATCAAGGATTTGAAATTTTTGTTTTTCGATTCCGGCCATCGTAAAATAAAATAAGTAGAAAATAGTACAACAAAAAGAAATTAACCTTTTTACAAACCTATAATTTTGTAGAGCAAAAACTCGTGCTGATAACGTGTTGTAGAATATAATACAAGGTGTATATAAATATATATATTAAAAGTAAATAGCTAGGCTTACGAGTTTACAAGAACATATAATTCTTGTATGATACATACACAAAGTGCATGTTATAATTAAAAGCCATCATTGCTATAAGAGAAATTGAAGTGTGAGAATAATGAAAATTGAAGCTACAGTATATCGAGTGTAATTGATGAAGAAAGATAATAATGAAAGTTATATATATTGTATTACGAGCGTACCTATTTATACAAAATATTAAGTCTTACGTACACGACATGTGTACAAGCTAGTTATGTAGTGTTCATAGCTACAATTTGAATTTTTATCAAAACCATGCAAATGAAGACCATATGTGCATATCATGTATCACATGGATAGGTGACATCTCATTGGTTAGTTTAATGGTGTGAAAGTCCACCGTGTCATACTAGGAATTTAATATTAATTGTTAATGCAATTCTTGAATAAAAGTGGAAACAATAATAATTGAGAGCTTTTAAAGAGAAAATTATGTTGATTTTAAAAATAATCATTATTTCATAAATAAATATATTACAATATATATATTATTTAAATAGTGTTTTATGTGTAGAACTGAAAAGTGTCTCCCACTCCCCAAGACTTTTGGTAAAGATCAGATATTGAAAAACATGGATGTTGACTAAACGAATAAAACATCAAAACCCTAAATTTAATATGGATTAGATGTAATTACAACTTGCAAACAGACAAAACAATGAGTTGTTCACTCCCTCCTACATTTAAATTAGTGTTTTCTTGGGTGTTCTAATTAATTAATTAATACATATTTTTTTTTTAATTTGACAAGGCTGGGAAATGGGCTTTTTGTCTGTCACCAATT